CGGTGGGACGGGCAACAGGAGGACGGAGCGGGCGGGGGCCGGGACGCGCGGAGCAGGCACAGAGGCCGAGGTCCCGCGCGGAGCCGCCGCGGGCGGAGGAGGCGTGTCCTGGGCGGGAGCCGCCACTGGGACCTGAGAATGTGGGGAGGGGAAGGGACCGAGAGGGTGACCTGGAGGAGGGCCCTGCGAGTGATGTCAGGTCACCTCCAGGTTCATTTTCATAGCTCCCTGCAGCCTCCGCCTGGGAGTTATGTTTGGTGACTGAGAGCAGCGCTACCAAATTGCACCGGGGTTGATTTGGGGGCTGGGAATTGGCCATTCCGCTGTACAGACACTGATTTTTTTAAAAGCAAGGTTTGTTTTCGTTTTAGTTTCTATCGGATTCTCTCCTCAATTAACTCACTTTTCTAGTTTTTAATTTTCTTTACCGAAATGTCTTTTCACGATCCCATCTCTTCATCGTGCTTTGAACCTTGGCTTCCTATTATATAATTCATGCTTAAATCTCCCGGAGGGTTGGCTGGCGCGGGGTTGGGGGTGTGGGGGGGTATTCTTTCGTAGATAGAAGTTTTTAAAGACCCTTACGTTTCCCGATCTATTTATAGTCTTTAAAAATAAGAGTAACTGTAACCGGGTATTCCTCTGAGCCTCTCGGCCAAGTCTATTCCTTGTCCATAAGTGGTTCACATGTATTTTATTAAACTGAAAACTAGTAACTGACTTGCAGCGTCAGCGTTGGGAAGCTGCTGTTGGCGGTAGATGGGCCATGAGGGAATGTAGTTACACTCCCTTGGATTTTTTTTTTTTTCGTTCGTTCAAGCTCTCAAAATGTTTGGCTGTAATTTGGACTCGATGTTGTGTGTCTTCGGTTGTGTGACTACACTGTACAGAAGAGCATTGTCGATGGGACTTTTCATAACTCTCTTTGAGGCTAGGGAAACACCTACTAGTTAATTTTTTAGGGAATACGCTTTCTTCTGAGTACTCCTTTCTTCTCCAGCTTCCACAGGCACAATCTAAATATGAAACCGGGTTCTTCTTACTCTGCCTCAGTCTCCATTAATGCAGACTGTAATTCCAAATCACCACCGCAGGGACTTACAAGCATAAGTATTGTAATGGTATCATAATGTGCCCTGAAGATAAAGACTGCTTGGCTCCACCTTTCTCTTTAGGTCAGCTATGTTTCATGATTTGATGGTCTGCTGATGCTTTGAAATGCATCTCATACTCAAGCAAAAATAATGTTGTATTCTTTCGCTGATACTGCGACGCTGAAATTTATGGGTCTTCTGTTGAGTCCAAACTCCAGATTCTGTTCTGTTACTGTCTGTGTTGGTACTTGCTTTTTTTCTTTAAGTGCTTTAATGTAATTTTAGTTCCGGTGAAATATTTTAGGAACCTAAGTATGCTTTTGCATTTTTTATTGAAACCCTTGACTTTGTACTGTGTTTTGTGTCCTGGTCTCCTTTCTCCCTATCACCTTTTCTTTTAAAGGTGTTTGGGTGTGGTTAGGTTGGCTCTTTAGATAGCTGAAGATTTGTGATGTGTTCCACCTTGAGGTATTCTGGCCCAGATTTTCTTTAAAAAGGATAATGAATCATCAAGAATTAACTGGTAATGAATGACAAAGTTAGTTAGGAGGTTCAAGTTGCACCATTTCTGCTTTTGACCAATGTGAAAAGTACTACTAAGAGACAAAAAGGACTACTCTGAAGAATTTGCAAAATATTGACATCAACCTCTCTGGTTGATGAAGAAAGAGATTTGATTTAATGGTGGTTTTTCCCTTGATGCAGGTAAAAGAACTAAATGGCTTGTTTACATGGCACTATTAACTTCCCAGTAACTATCCCTGCAACCGTAAGTCCCTATCTCTAAAGGACACAGCTACCTTTCCCTCCTGCTCAGTGTGATATTAAGGGACCCAGGGAACAGTAACCCAGAACTGAGAAAAAAAAAAAAAAATGCCCGCCTACTTGTTTTCCCGAACCAGGAAGCTTGGTGGCGCCAGAGAGCACGTTGACTGTAACCGAGTGCCTGCAGGACTCTGAACTGAGTTTACAGACTCCCTGGTGCTGGCTGAGGCTTCTAGAAAGAACAAAAACAAAAATAAACAACACCAAGGACAACAAAAAGGCAAAACAAATAAATAAAAATAACCCAGCTCTTTATGGCAGCAAGCATGTAAGGGCAGTGGAGACATGTTTAAAAGACACCCACAAGCAGATGTGGTTAATATTCAGATGTTTTAGGGGTTCCGGGGAAACCTCTCTTTATGTTTACTTCTCTGAGAAGAGTCAAAGTATGAAATCTGTACCTGCCTTTTTTTTTGACCAGCCACCACTACTATGAAAGCAGCGATACGATCAATGCAATTCTATATCCTCACCCCAGGAGCCTCTAGGCTAAGCTAACATGGGTTACATAACCGTTAAATAAGACATTTCAACACGCAGGTACATTACATTCCTCTTTTATTGACCAGACCAGATTTTCATTGTCCAGCAAAGCATTTTTATTTGATAGTCCTTGCTTGTAACATCGTGTAATCAGGAGAACACACTGCTCAAAACTTTACATCCAGTCCCCCAATGCCCACGTGTGGTTTAGTATTGATGAGTCAATATAGATCCCTGCTCGTCTGCTGAGTTCTCCCAAGGACACTTCAGATTTTGTTATTTTCAGTTTGTGTCATTCTGCTTTGCCTGCCTCAGTTTCTACAAAATGCACCCCTGAGGATTTGTATCTATTCAAGTCAAGTCTGGACTGATGAGAAAAAGTCTCTGAGCAATTATATCATCTAAGAGCCGAATTTTATGGTTAATTTGTATTGAGTCATGAACAGCAAACCTGTTGTTTAAAGCTGTCTTTCCTGAGGTCCTGCAGAAAGGTTGACACTATTGGGAGCTTTGCTTAGCAGTTTTGTTTTTTTTTTAAAGAACCACCAGGCCTCTGTGGAAACCATGGAATCTAATACTTGGCCTTATATATCCTTAGTTTTTCACCATGAATTTCTCTAATGATGTCTAAATCAACTTTTCCTTTAAATGGTACAGTTACATTTGAAACAGTGGCCAAATGTTTATGCAGGATATTGGTTAGCTCCGCTGGCTTGAGCAAGGTAGCTGACTTCTTTGCATCCTAGCTTCCCAGAGTGGAGAACTGGAACCCTGACATCCCCTCTGTAGAGATTAGCAAAGGAAATGGTTGAGACACCAAGAATTGTACCAAGCATCGAGAAAGAACTCCAGAAACCCCACCTATAGTTAGAAGTGTTGATACTTTTAACCTAATTACAAGTGAACTATATATTTAACAAGTGATAGCCTGACCTACAAAGGAGGATTTATTTAATCGTGTTAGTTTTTTCTCTTTCAATTGTACAAAGAAAAAATAATGATAAGGTGATTGGCTTTCGTTCTGAAATACAAGCCTCTTTTTGTCCATTGAGTGAGAATTTTCAGAATGCTGTCTAGCCTGCTAATAGATACTCTTGTCTGCAGCCGAAGTAATTTTTGAACTTTAAAAACACAATCTGTTTTCAAAGTAAAATAAAGTACTCCAAGGGTTTATTCCTTTTGTTTTTAAAGCTGTGTTTGCATTTTATTTTTCTGCTTAGTCAAAACCTCAAGGTATTAGTCATTCGTTTTAGTTTTCTTTAACTTATGAAAGAAACCACTGGAGCAAGATAGGGAGTTAACCTTTGACAGCATAAAGTGCACACAGAGGAGTTTAAAACTTCGTTAGTTATGGTACAGCAATTGTTTGCTGACAAATCTCAGAAGGAATGTAAGTATTTAATCAACGCTCTTTCTGCGATCTTCAGTTGTAGGTACATATGTATATTCTTTTTTTAAAAAAAGCATGTGCACATGTACATGTGTGTGTGTGTGTGTGTGTATGTGTGTGTGTGTGTGTAAAAAGAAAAGAACATAGAATGTTGGTTGGGCCTGAGACAAACCAAATTCACATGTATGTATAATCTTTATATTTGTTGCTTTCATCTTTAATATTTTGACTTTCAACAAAGGTTTTCTTTCTAATTTAAAATAAATTGACCTTTTACTTTTATTTAACCACATTAACCAAATACATGCGTGTGTGTGTATATATATATATATATGCATTTTTATGTCTACTTATGTGCTTTTATACCTATATGTATGTTTTACAGATTTTAGGTGATGGGAAGATCAGAAAGTCAGATGGATATAACTGATATCAATACTCCAAAGCCAAAGAAGAGACAGCGATGGACTCCCCTGGAGATCAGCCTGTCTGTCCTTGTCTTGCTGCTGACTGTCATAGCTGTAACCATGATCGCTCTCTATGCAACCTATGATGGTGAGTGTCTCCCACACAGAAATGAATGCAGAAGGGAATAAAGCCTTCCTCATATGCATTTACCATTTACCTGGATGATTCACAGATTCACCTGCATGATGCAGCCTTCGTATGTCAAACAACGGACTTAGAATATCGTCCTTAGGTGTAAGCTGAGTTATTAATTGCCAAGCACATTCAGTATTTTCATGAGTATGAGACCTGTACAATTTTATTTGATTAAAATATATACTATCTTATGTCAAACTTTAGTAATAGCCATGGATCAATTTCTGTTGTCATTGAAATTCTAAAAGGCTCCGCACGAGTCTAATAAGTCTAACTTGAGTCTTGAAAGTTTTTCCACAATGGGGATTAGTAAAGATTAGCTCTTTAATGGAAAAACATGATTACAAAATGATGAATGAAGCATTCAGCTATTTTAATTTAATATTCTCTGAGTTCAGTTGGTGAATGGGGTATAATAGCATACCTTTTCTTTAAATTTAGCATTTCCTTTTTGGTCTCTTGTTAGTTTTTGCCTAGTAAAAATAGAATATAATATTTAATGGTCCATTTATTTAATTGGTAGAATTTTTTAGTAACAAAAGGTAAACATAAACTGTAAAATTTTATTACCAATATTTATACATCTACTCTCCTTTTTCTAGACGGAGTTTGTAAATCATCAGACTGCATAAAATCAGGTAAGAAACTGTTTTTTTTCATTTAGTAGTTGGCAGGTAATATGTAACGTTTAGAAACAAATACTAACGGAGATGTCTACTTTCGCTCTGCTCGTACGCATGCTCGTTAAACTTAACTCAGCAAACACCAGAATGCCTTTAAATAGCGAATTAATCAACTAAAATACATGAAGAAAACCATCACTGTTCTGAGATGTTGACAAGTTATGTTTTATGGAGCTTACGCTAGGTAGTTAGGGAAAGAAAATGAGCACCTGAATGGTGAGCTTGTGAGTGAGTACAAGTCATTAGAAGGGTATGAAGAGGAAAGAATGGTATGTTGTTCATGAGAGGATTAGGAAAAGAATGACATGGAGAAAGGCGGGAAGGGAGAGAGGGAGGAAGGGAGAGAGGGAGGGAGGGAGGGAGAGAGGGAGGGAGAGAGGGAGGGAGAGAAAAAGAGAGAGAGGTGAAGTAAAGATGTGAGAAGGACCTTGGAGTGAGATAGGATTTGGGGTGGGGGGTAGTATAGAAGAGGAAAGTGTAAACAAGAAGACAGAAAAAAAAAAGAATAAATCATGTGGGCTAGGGATGCAACTTGGTGGTAGAGTATCTGATATGCACAGCCTTGGGCTTAAGCTATAAACCTTAAAAAAAATGGAAAGAAAGGACAAATCATGTTCTTGGAAAGCAGTGGGAAAAAAGCAATTTGATAGATGGGGCACTTCACTCAAAGCTTTGGAAACCCATGGGTAGCCTTTCGTGGTGATAAAGGAGAAATAAGATCTTCCCCGAGCAGTGGAGTGGTTTGGGCTACAGCTGAGGGATGATTCTGAGTGGGTGGAGTGAGAAACGATCATATGAGAGGGGAGAGCAAGCAGAAGCTGCCCCAGTAAGGCCAGCATGAGCTGCAGAGCTTAGCCTGGGGTGAAACCCTTGATGCTGAGCCAGCAGTGAGGGTGAATCGGTGGAGGCAACTGAATGAGATGAGGAATATGAACGAGCTGAAGTGGTACCGTGTTGTAAAATCCAAAGGACTCAAAAAGTCCTTTGAGGATGACGCCATCCTGGTGCCCACCGACACAGAAGCAAGGAGGGGAAATTTGAGCTGCGTGTTCTAAGCCAGGCCTAACCTCCAGCTGGAGTGACAGAAATGGGGCCGAAGGAGCAGGTGTTTGATTTGGAGCCTCTCCGTTTATAGGTAACAGTAGAAATCTTAGAACTCTCCGAGTTTCCAAAAGAAGAAAAGAAGGGGGCAAAGGCTGGATTTAAGAAGACATTCTTAATGAGAATGGAAGGAAAAAAGTGAGAGAGAACAGAAACACGCCCAGCTATTTAAGTCACAGCCAGCTCCATGTTGTCAGAAAAGAAAGGTTCTTGACCCTTCTGCAAGAAGGAAGATGCATCTGGGTACAGCACCCTGGGATATGCTCTTTAACCTTTGGCAGTTGGCTATATTTCTATCTGATTTTCTGTTATTCTTTAAACCGTGAATGATAATGATAGGAAATTATCTTGGGGTTCTAGGCTATGCTCTAAAGTGCTGAGTGTGTGCCCTTTGGCTATCGATGTTGCTTTTTAAATAGATATTTTGCTCTAGGCCTCCATTGTGATAGTCACGCACCATCCATCATGATGGTTGACACAGGAAGCTTAAGAAAGACCTGGTTGTAGATTGGATCATAGCCATTTGCTGTTCAACTCAACAGCGTGCACTTTACTGTTCAGTGGTTTTAATCTGAAACAAAAATGTCTTTATTCCCCAGGGAAATGACTCTACAGACACACTGGTTGAGAGATGCTTAAGGTCACTGCAGTAAAGTTAATATGAGCTGCAGTTGCTGAAGTTACTATTTCCTCCTTCTCGGGTCCCCCTCTTCTCTCTCTCTCCCTCCCTCTCCCTCCCCCCCCCAGTTGTTCTGGCATATGTACCTATTTATTTTGAGAAACTGATAATACATCCTGACTTGTAATTAGTTTCTCTGCCCTTGGTACACTTGACATGTCTCTTAAATCTCTTAATCTATAGGTTTTCTGTTCTTGTTTATCACTCTCTTTCCATGTCTTTTGCTTTTGAAGGAATTGGATTCTTGGACTACATAGGCAGATGTGTATAAACTTGTATAGGGGATTTCTCCACCGGGGTCTGACATATTCCTGTAGTAGCACTCACCTCGTGGAGTGACATCTGGTGTCTGAAACCTTCCATGTGACTTGATATTTCGAAATATGGCTCTTAAATAACGTTTGGCAAGTACCAATTGCCAAAATTTATTTAACCTTTATTCTTTAATTATAACCTAAAAGTCACGGCAAGTGTGAAGTATCTCAAGGGCACGACCTTGGCATAGACATGTGTTTAGCACAGATAGCTTCTGGGGCATAGCGGGGCTTCTCATCACTGTGTTCTGTCGGCCTACAAGCTGTTAGGACACTATCAGATTCAAAGCTGTTGTTTTTCCCTGGAGAAAAAGATATAAATGGCACAAACATCACCTCACAGAGGAGCATGCTTACACTCTTCTCTCGCATGCTCTTATACATGCTTAGACACACAGGGAGGGGGAGAGAGAGAGAGAGAGAGAGAGAGAGAAAGAGAGAGAGAGAGAGAGCGAGCATGTGTCCGTATCAGCTTAGAAATCACGTCTGTCACTGAAAAAACAAGTCCCTTTAGACTTTAGAAGTGGTTGCAAATAAGAAAAAAATGCTACAGAAAATCTTTGTCTGGGGAAAGGAACATAATAACGAGGAGGGCAGAATAGGCAGAGAGAAGAAATATGAGAAAAATATGTTGAAAAAGTAGCATATACTAATTGCCACTCAATAGTCACTTTAAATGACCGGGAACATTCAAACCCAAGCACAGAAATTCTCGAGAATTGGAGAAGTAGGTGTGATGCTTACTTTAATTGAAAGTGGCTTCCAACTTTCTCTCAGTGGACAGGAACTTCCTGGCAAGTGTCCTTAAGGAATAGAAGGGACACCACACTGAGGCAAAAACTGATTACCGCAGGCTATGGGTCTTATATATTTTGGGTCTGAGCATCTGTGATTTTATAATACATATGAAGTAATATTTGTAATGCATTCTTTAATTTACTTATATATGAGTTCATGCTGTTGGCCAGACCTCAATAAAATAAACACTATGCAAGCAGTAAAAAGTAAAGGCAAGGTTGGAAATTGTAGTATAAAAGTATGTCACTTATCATTTATGAGACATTTAGCAGTGTCAAAAATTTAGAGACAAAACTTGTATGTGGTTCTTTAGACTTATGTAATTTTAAATTCTGAAACAGACATTTTTTTGCACTGTAACCTTCTTAACTCAAAAGATTCCCCCAAATCATATGCTTCACATCAAAGTGTCTGAACCTCATCATTGCTGACATTTTGGGATGGATAACTCTTCATAGAGGAAGCTGGCATTATAAAATGCTTAGCAGCAGCCCCAGTTTCTAGTTACTAGCTCAGCAGCAAGTAGGTTCCACCATCCCATTGCATCAACCAATGTCTTTGTATGTTAGAATGTCCCTTATAGGCAAAACCACTTTGATATGATAGCATTGCTTTAAAGAACCTGAAGTACCAGGTTCTTCATCTTGTGAGGCAAAATAACGCCCCCCCCGCAAAGGTGCCCACACCTTATTCCTTATATATTCCTTATGTATCACTTTATATGCTAACAGACCTTTTAAAACAGCAGAGTGGTGTGTGTGTGTGTGTGTGTGTGTCTGTGTGTCTGAACAAAAGACTTTGAAGTGGAAAGATGACCCAGTATGATTCGGTTGCTATTGTGTAATTCCAAGCATCAGTACCACCAGGGAAGCAGCAGAAGCAGAGACCTCAGTGGTACAACCACAGGATGCTGCCACTGGAAAACTGTAAAGCAGAGTGAGGGGTTGTCCTCAGAGCATACCAGAGAACCTGAACTCCTCAGGTCCTTTATAGAGTTCTGATGTCTAGCGCTCTAAGATAACAAATCTGAGGTTTTACTATTATATCTCCTTCTTACAGGTGAACAGACTTGGCTAGACTCCAATTCATTCAGTGTTGTCGGAGGCCACTAGTTTGTTTCCCAACTGCCCTGACTCAAAATAATCACACAGAAACTATATTGTTTGCAATACTGTTTGACCAATAGTTTAAGCATATTGCTGGCTAACTCTTATACCTTAAATTAACCCACTTCCATTATTTTATATCTTACCATAAGGCTCGTGGCCTACCGTCAAGCTCACATCTTTCTCCTCTGGCGGCTATGTGGTGTCTCACTGTCTCTGTCTTATTTCTCCCAGCATTCCATTTAGTTTTCCTGCCTAATTCTATTCTGCTAAGCCATTGGCCAAAATCAGCTTCTTTATTCATTAACAAATAAAAGCAACATATATACAGAAGGACGTCCAACACCAAGGCAGTATGGCTCCAGACCCTATTCTCATAAACTTTCTCTATGTTGTTTCAAAAGAGATTGGGAATGTTTGTAACTTTCAACCCTCTATCATGTATAACAGCATAGGTCAAAAGCAGAGATGCTTTCTCTCTGCAACAGGTATCTGTATTAGTCTGTTTTGCATCGCTATAATGAAATATCTGAGCCTCAGTAAGATTATAAAGAACAGAAGTTTGTCCATCTCACCGTTTTTGCTATTCAAGGGGCCTCTGTTGATAGCCTTTATGCATGCAACATACGAAGGTGTGTGAGGAGAGGAAGGGACCGTATATATGTGGGCTCTGGCATCTTTCCTTTTCTTACAAAGCAATCATGAGGCTTCATCCTCTTGGTCAGATCAAACCTCAACCCCCTCCTTATAAAAGTCTTCTAGATGCTTCTAGATCAATTGAAGGGGACCAAATTTCAGTACATGCACCTCTGGAGGACGCATGCAAAGGATCCCAAATGATCCAAAGAAGCAATTGTTGGCAGTGTGATCCTAAATTGTACAGGTTCTAGAGAATCCAGGTTGTTTCCTTCTTACAGGTGAACAGACTTGGGCTAGACTCCAATCCAGGCAGTGTTG